AAGTCAATCTACCGCACGGGTTAGTCAAGCAGGCTTCAGAGAGTTGGCCATCTCTCACCGCCCTATAACCCCACCAGCAAAATCAACCTATCTTTTGCCTTAGAAAATTTACCTATATATTTGGATCGAAAACTCATTTCGCTCACTTGTGGTTTAAAACGCTCATGGTATGGTTCTTCACAGACGCATGCGTGTTAGGCCAAAGAAAATGGTTTGGAAATTTCGTTGATTCATACACAACATCCTCATTCACTTAGGCCCGTTCAGTTCAGCTATGAAAAATATGGCTTTCATTTGTAAAAGTTGTTTTTCCTCAAAATCACCGGTAGCCCAGCTTTCCACAAACGCTTGTTACAAAAACGCGCCTTAGAGAGGTGCTCAGAATTTTATAAGACTAAATTTGTGATTAAACTGTACATGCCATTGGACGCTTCGTAGCATACATTTTCCGCCCTTCGACTCACGAAATACCTAGAACAAACCACGAACATGAAGCAAGATCGACGTCTGAACAACGGCCTACTTATGCAAGTCAAAAATTTGGTAATGAACGATCCGGACACTGTTAAGGTTAAAAGCAAGCAAACAGTTTTTTGTTCCACACAATTATGCAAAAGACATTCTGGGAAATTTGAGTAGAGGTAGACGCTTGGTTTGGTGTACGATGAGCCGCCGGCCCCTTAAGTTTACAATAGGCTCCGATGCCTTTGAACTGGGTCCTACGAATCATTTGTATTCGTAAAGGAAAAACGTAAAAAGTCAAATATTTCTTGTTGTAAAAGTATACCTCGTAAAATTTCGCTATCGAGAAGACCATGAAATAAATGGAGTTGTGTAAACCCGTCTAGTCAGACCATGTTGTTGCGAAGTTTGATTAGAGTTTAATAATTATTTGTTCTTGGTTAGATTCCCTCGCTAGCTATTGTTCAATAGCATAACAAAGAGGCGGAAAACAATTATTAGTGATTTATTCCCAGTACATGTTCAGTCAAGATGGAAAGGAAAGCCATTGTATTTCAGTTTAAATTATTTTTGATGAAGAGGACACGATAAGGGAGTTTAAGATCCAACGACGCGACAGCAACGAAAACGTCGCTTAAAAAGTGAATTTGCGTTCTTTCAGTCTTTATAGTGATTATTCCTACCCACTTACTTGTCAAATGTAGGCGAACCATCCCGAAGCTGAATTTCAAGGGACCATATCCAAGCTCAGAAAGAGAAGTAAAATTTCGTCGTTGCTTGTTTACGTCCTCCATAAAACGAGAAAAGGCATTTTCACGTCGTGGTCGTGCAAAACCGGGAAAGAAATGTACAAAAAAAGTGCGAGGCACGTGCAAAGTTGTTGTTTTGCTTAATAAAACCTATTGTTTTTTAGACACTCTCGCTGCCGTCGCGTCCTTGAATCTCCAAGTCAATGAGAACGCGCTGATTGCAAAACATAAGATTAAGTTATAATTTTCGAAATTTGACTTACGTTTTGCTTTTACAGTAATATTGCCTGCAACTGTTGAAAAGAAGTTCTGAGTTGCATCAAGTTTACACATATTTTTCGTTCCTTTTCCATAAGACAGAATAACATACCGGTAAAATGTGCCACAAATGTTGAGTTGCACATTCTTTTATGGAGCAACCGTTTTTAAGTTCTGAAAAAGCCACTCGTTGCAGATCTTTTCCCGGTGTTCCTTTTTTTTGTCGATTCGACAGAATATCTGTAAAATGAACCAAAGTCTTTTAGTAACACATTCTTTTCTTGAGCAACCGTTTGCGTTTCTTTTATGTCGCCCAGTTTTAGCCCTTCGTTGAAGATCTTTTACAGTCGTGTGTTCGTTGTATTCCGAGATGACCTGCGGTTTTCTAATACAACTGGTATTCTGCCAAAAAAAAGAGTCCACTCCCTCCTAAAAAAAATCCTGGATCCGCCCCTGCTAATCAACCGGTGATGTTGTTCCGGTGGTTCCGGGGTTTTTAATAGGTATGAAAAGCCGATGATTGCTTTCACCAGAAACAAATTTTTTTACCAAAATTATCGATTTACCCCTTTAATAAAATTCGACTTTTTGGACTTTGAAAAAATGACATTTTTATACTCTAGGAAGGCTTCTTTTGTATTCAAGACATCATTAAACATTATTTCTGGTCTTATTTTAACTGAAATAGAAAAAAAAGGATTTCAAGATTTCAAGTTGCCGGGTAGTTGTTGTTAAATATAAAAATATCATCAAACCAATCAAGAGTGGTGCCGGATCTCCCAATTGTAGACCCAGTTATAGACCTGGATCTGAGTACAATTAAACTTGTAGAAAAATATGAAATGGCAAACTGATCCTTACGTGACAAGCCATGCCGGTCTTCAGGAGGAAAGATGAGCAAAGATCATAATAACCTCAAGACAAAATATCCTGACATTTTATAAAGCAAAAAGGGAAATAATTACATTTTGCGGATACAACACCGTATTTTGGAAGTGTTAAGTTGAGACTTGTACTATAAACTAAGCTGTGGCACGACGTGACACACACAGAGCGTCCTTTCCTCTGTTTACTGGCCTAAATTATCTCTCTTTGTCACTGAAAATGTGGGTAGTATACGATGTGTCACGTTATCTGTCCACAGAAACGTTAAAACGTTTCCTCTGTATAAACGCATTTTAGACACTAGTGAATTTTATTTTATTACTTGGATGCACAAACTAGGAATTTATCGATCCACTACTCAAACGCTGTCTTTTATATCTCAAAATCAAACTCTAATCCAGTTCCTTTCAGTTTTTCCAACACTTCCTTTTCAAATCTCTCATTCAGTTCTGGAGTGAAGTAATTCTTCCATCCACCGACCACTCCCTTCCGGAGAAGCAAGGAACTCTCTTCGTTCCGAATCTTAAAAACTGATAACATTTTTCTTCATGTTCTTGTACGTACATTGCTCTGCAATACGATTGACGAGTTCATCGGATAGTTGCTTATTCAAAAAATTAGCAATCATTCGTACATGGAGCAGTAGATCCTAGGAGGAATTGAAATTTAAAATACATCTAAAGATGATGTATGGTTTTCACGCAACTTTTCTTTATCCGCTTTTCTCATTATCTTGGAGCCTGGAACAGGCTATGATGGACTACCTTCCCATCCAGGGTAATTAAAATATTCCCAGTCACTTGAAGCTATAGGAAGAGGGTCAATGTTTGGCCTAATGAAAAAATTAGCCCGAATCCAGACTTACCCTTTCACGAAAAAAGAACCAATGTACACCTTGTCTCAAATCTTCTCAATTTCCCCTTTAATTTTTCCTTGGTAGTTGACTAAAAACTAGCACATTAGTCTACCATGATAGCACACTTTAAAACTATTTGAAATCTGCCTTTTCAAGCATGGCATGCTTAATAACAAGAACAACCAGGTGTTTCTTGGTGTTGTGGAAACTATTTTTTGGAAACTACTTTCTTGTGGAGTGGGCATTGTTCCAAGTCTTTTCAATGTTTTTGCATTATTTCAATTGGTGATCGCACCCATCAACAACACCAAGAAACAACGGATCAGTTTTTGTTTCTGGGAAACTGCCCACCTACCCTTGCTCAAGTCAACATTAATACTTAGTTCTCACTTAAGGTAAAATGTTGGCTTAGGGGAGGGGTAGGTGGTCAGTTTCCCAGAAACGTATAATAGCATGAATAATAAGTTACAAATAAAATTTTAAAGCCTGATTTGAAAATCATTTTCTGGATAAACTTTCTTTCTAATTATATAGCTATCTGAAAGCAAAATCATTTATTAACTTGATCCCATCAAAAGTGGGTATTTCCTATTAAATTTGGGAACATCAATGTGCCACTTAGGGTTTAATTACCTCATGAGTCTCAGCTTGAGAAAAATCTTTGCCCACTCACCAGGCTAAAAATATGTTCCTCCAGGTACAATATTTAAAGTTGGGTGGGAAAATTTGCTGTAAGATGTTATCTCAAAACAGGGGGCAAGAATCACAGAGCTGAAAATGTGTTCTCTTCTGTTCTACAGTTGCCCAATATTAGCCAATACAGTATGAGTTAACAAAAATTTCTTAGTTATTTGTTCAAAACGTTAGGTTGGAGATTCACCCTGAGTCGCCAAGTGATTTTCCCCCTTAAGATATCTACAGTAAAATTCAATTATTGTGGTCTAAAATGCAAGATTTAAAAACTTAATGTAGTGTTTCCTAAAACTAAAAAAGGTTGAAGACTTTCTTATATTTGTTTGAGTAAGAATATTATTATTTCTACATGGGGGAATTACCATTCCAAAGAGTTTCCCCACATGACAAGAGGTGAAATGGTAGTCTACTGTAATAGTTACATACAGAACAATACTTGGCCATGTAGAGATACAAAATTTCACACAAGATTTGACTTCAAGTGTTGAAAAAATTTGTCCAGTGAGCGTGCCAAACAAGTTAAATGTCTTTCAGCATACATATGTACATGTAAGAAGAGTACACAGGGTTCATACAAAAATTTTTTTCAAGGACTTTGCAAGGATACACAAGTTGCACATATGTTTTCATGTAGGAAGAGTACAAAAATAATTTTATATTCTAATAAGACTTTAATTAACTGTTTGCTTCTAATTTATTTTTCTTCATAAAATAGTTAATTATTGCCATGGAGCACTTTATGAAATACCAAACCATAATTCTGTCTTTCAAAAATTTTTCTTTTCAAAGTTTTTTTTTCAAGGACTTGCAATTTGCTGTTCAAGGAAAAAAAGGTGTTTTTCATAGGACCAAGACTGTGCAACCCTGGTGAATTTTTCACCTGTTTATTCTATAAAAACCACTTAATTTGCTGTGGAAGGTGTTTTTATAGCCACTGCAATGGTGAATTTTTCACCTGTGAAGTTAAGAGGTATTTTGATGTGAGAAGATAATGTTTTCACACCAAAGATCACCTGGTATTTTCATCGGTGTTTATAATATAATGGAATCAGTTACTGTTGTAAGAGTATAGAAAATTCTTACCCAAACTTTAGGTTCTGGCTTATTGACGGGTAATTAGAGTACAAGGGCAGATAAAGGAGTGGGCCGTGGGCGCTGCAGCAACCCCTTTTGCTTTGAAATTTTGCATTATTTTTATAGAATTCTTGGAAAATAAAAAGTACATGTATCTATATAGCTGGCAAGTGGGCAAGTGTCCTGGCCACCCCTTTCTGAAGTTTCTGGATCTGCCCGTGGAGTACCAATGTACATGTAACACGTTGAAGTAAAATAGGAGCATATCAGTTACCAGATCACCATGGCACCACCAACACCACCATCATCATCATCGTCATCATCATCATCATGACATAAAAGTGCTTTTCTTGACTGTATCTTTAACTTTAATGAAGGACTTCTTGTACAGGAGCATTGAAGACTGAAGCACCACTGAAAATTTTACTTTGATGCTAGAAAATAGAATGAAGACAATTTTGTCATTTCAGAAACAGCTATTGTACACTCCTGTTGTCTCAAGAAATAAAAGTCAATGTTAATCCTAGAATCCAAAATATCATTGGTGCACTAAGGCCAGACACGATGACCAGCCAAAGAAAATATTGCTCGGTCAAGTCTCATTCTGACCAGCCGAAATACATGTATTTGGAAAAAGAAGTTAACTAATCCTTGTGGAATTTTCTATTAACAAATGTGATTTTATTTTTACAAAGAGAGTATTCTGAGGTGTAAAGGTGAGGATTTCGCTGTTTGTTTAAGAGTGAGAGTTTGTGTGACCAGCGAGTGAAGTTTTTTGCTGGTCAAGTCACCATTCTGGCCACCACTTGTGGCCCTCCCCCTAAAATATATATAACTAATTTACAACTATTAAAAAGGGTAAAAACAGTAAAAAAAGGTAAAAACGGGTAAATATATATATATATATATATATATATATAACGAGTAAGGTTCATTTTGCTAATACACGTATTTTACAAACTGTACTTCTAACTTCAAATGCATTTCTTTTTAATCCTACCCCCCTTCCCCCCCAAAAAAATAATAACAAAATAAACTGGGCATTACTTTGTTCAAATGGCACTAGTGACGTTGAGGGTTTCTCCAAGGACTTTGAAAGGGCCCTCTGATGAACTCAGGTAGTCAGAAAACCTCTTGTTCAGTGTTACTGAGGTCTGAAATAAAAACAAATCAAGAACTTTAAAATGAAACAAATCTAGTACTATATTTAATACTGCAATGACTTCGTGTGTGATTTTCAATGAAAAGAGACATGTGCGATAACACAGAGACAACATATGGGTACATATTGTCCCTTTTAAGGACCTGTCAATTTTTCCCTCAGTAAACTAGAACCCTTGATAACTTGAGCCTTCTGCTTACTCAAAGTAATTTTTGTTTCCCTTCAGATAATTTCAATTATTTTACCCTCGATGACTTGAACCATGTTCTAAGCGTGAGGCAAGTCAAAAAAACATTGCAGTCCAAAACATTGAATTTATTTATATATTTCTACTTTGTTGCTTAATTCCTTCTTCAAAATAAAGATCAACACATCTCTATCTCTCGCTGCCCTTGAAGTGAAGTGTGCAGGATACTTGTATTCCTTTTCCAGCCTTATTTCCTTGCATCCGGTTATTTCCTTCAAGCTCCCAATAACTCAAGCTTTAATCTATTCCCCTAGAAAGTTCAAGTTATCAGGAGTAGACTGTGTATTCATGATTGTTGACAACTACATAAATACATAAATAAATTATTTAAGTTTTGTCTTTGGAGGGCCTTAAATTTATTACTTACCATCTCTAAAGGACAGACAGGGTTCTGCACCTTCAATAATGAGACCTGAAAAAAAAAACAAACAAACAAACTTAGCACAACATTTTAGAATTTGATTCACACACTTTATATTATTTTGTCATTCAAAAAGGAGTTTGGTACAATCACTTACAATGGGCCTGTTTAAATAAGATGAGCATGGGCTGGTCCGTTTTACCAAGCAGGCTTGGCTCATGCCTTGTTTCCCCATAAAATTGTTGTTCTATTTCTCTTGCGAAGATCCTATTTGCTCAAGGTGAAATCTCAACTAGCGGGCCATATGCCTTCTTATATAAACTCAATGAAAAATTTTGCCGAGCCAGCCTTGTAAAATGGGCTAGCGCAGAAAACTAGGCTGGCTCACCACATTAAAACAGGCCCTATGATACTATGATTTTACAAATGAGAGAATAAACAGAAGGGTGAAATGGAAAAATCCTGCAAAATAAAGTTCGACAGGCAAAAGAAAATTAATCTTACTTCACTGTAGTTCCATTGCAGTTTAAGATTTGTTTTTGTTAGTCTGCAGACACATGTAGCCTGCATAGCTGGCAATCTTGTTAAGCCTGGTTTCCATGATCCTTAGGATTGACACGATCACCCCAGTCGTTTGAAAATATTTTGAGACGATCCCGACAACTGAGACAATTATTGGCAGTTAACATATAATAATCTTGATCACCTCAAAGACAAGAGATGCGACATGGTCAGAGATGTGTCTGGGTCAGGCAGTGGAATTTTTGCACATGTTGTGCAAACAAGCCAAACATAATGATGGATTTAATCAAAGAGCAAACCTTGTGCCTTGCTATCTACTTTTACTTTTAATTTGCAGCGTTGACAAGCTAGAAGAGTTCCACAAAGACACAGGGTGCTTACCATTTGATAGAAAATTTCCGAAATTCCGGATGGAAGGTAATAATTGGTAAGGTCACTTTTTCGGAAATTCCAACCAAAAATTGAGGAGTACGTTTTGAGGAAGTCTGTTCATTCCGGTTGGTACAAACCAAATGGAAATGTTGCTGACCATTTACCAACTTCTTGGTTCTTTCTCGGTTCCAGACTCACACTTCACAAATTCGCCCCTTTTTGGATATTTCAAACTGCTACAGTTGTGGCAATTCTATGGTAAACTGGTAAATCGCTTACCATTATGCTTTTGACACCCCGACTGGATTTTTCTGTCAAATGGTAAGCACCCATAGTAGCACATCAAGAACTTGATCTGATGGACTTTCTCTAGTTTCAAATAGTGCCTATATGCGGTGCGAACAATTTTGTCCTATTTTTTTTCAACTTCAGCGGCGTCCGGGCCCAATGTATTCCTGAATGCTAGAATAAGAGTGAATATTTGTGGGATAGCCTTCTATTATCCCAATCGTCTAAGTTGTCTAAGAGCGTTTCCATATGATCGCTTCAAAATTTACATGATCATCCGATAGAACTCAACTCTATCCAACCGCTCGAGGTTGTCTCAGTTGTCCGGGTCATTTGCTGGAACAACCAGGACGATCATGATTATTATAGAAACCAGGCATGTCTGTCTTACTATATGCATAACCCCGTTTCCAATGCATTGTACAATCCATCCATGGATCCAAAGTTGACCACTATTTTTCAATCATCATCTAGCCTCAAAGTGTAAGCCATCAAACCTAATCGAGTTCAATCTAACTAACCATACTCAACAAAGCGCAAATGAACACAATCAAAAGTTAAATAATTGCTCAAAGGTTTTTTTTTTTTTTGGTGAGGGCTCGAATGTGTTCGAATTAGTTCGATTTGGTTTGAGATGTTACTTCGGACAGATTTGAGGTCAAACGACTTTATTAGCTTATTAGCCAGAGGAATTACCAGCCAGAGAGGGCCATACACACAAAAAGCCCATATCTATAGTTCGTTTTATTTCCCCCCTATTCCAATATGTCAAAGACGCCGAGCCTCGGAAAACAAAAGGGTCCTTTGTTTAAGCGCACATTTAATTTGGCAAACTATGTTTTACAAAATTGAGCTCGCTAGAGTAGTGAAAACCTGTTAACCAACCCTGTTTTAGGGAAGAACAAGTAGCATAATTTCAAGTAGCATAAATGGAGAACGCTGAAGAAACTTACACATTTAAGCTTATCCCTTTCCTCTGCACTCCGTGCCTTCGCTTCGTGCTGCTGCCAAGCTCTTTCATCATTCAGTGTCTTCCACATCGTGTAATACTTCCTCGCAAGAGACAGATACTGCTCTGATTTTCGTTTCTCGGCTTCAACAAGGCTGTTTAAGTCGGATTGAACAGATGCAAGCATAGCACAGACTTGGTTTTCGACCTCCGCGCGTTTTTTAGCCATTTCCTCCTCCTTTCGTTTTGCTTTCATTCTGGCCTTACGCCGTTTTCTTTGTGCCCTCCGATTTAATTTCAACTGTCTTCTTCGCATCTCAGCGTCTATCATTTCTGCCGATCCTGTGCCTATACTTTGTGCGGTGGATGAAGGATTGTTTTTCCCGTTTTTTCCTTGAGCGCAGTCCACTTTCGATGTTGCCGCTACCGTCGCCATCTTTGTTTTGATATTTTCGCGCCAACTCGGGATGACGTCCAAAGGAGGCTCGCCCCAGACTCTATCGGAGTAATCGGAGTGGCTCTTCATTCCTTGCTGAAGAATCAGGGAAAAACGGAAGTATTTTCATGGAGATGATCGCAGGCTATGGATCTCATTATGCGGATCAAAGATCTTTGTTTTTTTTTTCAGTTCTTTTACTCAAGAACTTTTAAATAAGGCCTCCGTGAAAGTAATATTTTTAAAGTTTCAAGACAACAATTTAACTTACGTTTTTGACAAGTAGGAAAAGCCATTCAAGTAAGCAATTTACAAGTCTTGCTGATTAAAATAATTTGTTCATAGCCATTCTGCCATCAATTAATTGGCTCTTAGCACCTTGCTATAGCAACTACCGCTTTGCCATGAAGTATGATTGTGTGTCGAAAGTCAAAGAAAGCTGAAAAATAAATAAAATTTTCCCTCTTGAGTTATATGCCTTAATGCCTCAAAACTAATTACAGATCATTAATAACAAAACTCTGCTAGCTCTCATAAAACTACATAATCATAAGAAAACAGTGTAGGACGCTGAAACGAAATGCCGTTGCGATCCGATTTTATGGAGAAACACTTGATTTTGTGTTTGCTTGTTCTGTTCACGTTGGCCATGCTTATATACCATGAGCATTGGAAAGTGCAATTGGAAGCGATGGCTGCGTTAAACGAAGGTAAGCTTTTAATACAAGCTAATCTTAAGATGAATACAATACTATGATATCCTATATAAAGAGTGGTGTGATAAAACCCTTTCACGTTTTTTCAACATTTGACTTGGACAAAACGCCTTAAAATCAGTGCAATATCTTCGCCAGCTTTTATTCACGTATCACCCTTAAACTAGGTAAGTTACCTTATTTTAAGGCGCTATTTTCAGTAGTGTCGATGTATATCATTTCTTTAATGGTCTTAATCAAAACTTGAAACAATCCGTCGAAAGGTTTCACTCTAATTAAAATTGCCACATAGTCCTGTATGTAACTTTCGCTGTGGTGAGCCCCTGGCGTTCTCTCCGCTACTACTCTCTTTACGCCAGAAATACTAACTTTTATAACTCTCTTCGTTACCTTTTATTTTAGTTCTTCTTTCTTAAAAAGCCTCGATGGATAACGATCTGCATATGATTCTTCCCTTCACACTTAGCCTCAATCAGTGATTGTCAAATGGGGACTGAACTGCAGGAGCTAAGCGTGGTTAAATCAGAGGCACCCAACGAGGATGTAGTTCAAAACCACTTAACATAGCATTGTTAAACGTATTTTAGTATTTAAACAGTAGATATAGGCATATTTTTATCCCCTAAAAACTTTTCATCAGTGTTCGGATTTCCTAGCTGAAAGTCTAGTGATCCGAAAATTATAGGGATCAAAACTTACCTTTTCGAAAATTTCAGCCAGGAAAAGGCTCCCGAAAATTCTAGGTGGCCTTTTTTAGGGTAAAAATCCGTTAAAAATGGGTAATTAAACCATTTTTGTAGATGTTCGAAAATCCTAGGAGAGGAAGGCAAGCAAGAAATTTTACAACAAATGTTCCGAAAATTCTAGATCTCAAATCGTCTTTCGAACAGATATTTTCCGAAAATTGCCGTTGGGTGCCCCTGTTAAATGCCTGATCGGACTTTCATGTTAACCTGTCACGGACCATTTTATGAATTTTACGGAGTATTTTAACTTAACTGAAACACATATTTTTATTCCTTCAATTAGCATGCTAGATACCGGATTTATTTGTTTCGCTATTTGGACATAAAAGACTGATTTTTTTTTTTGGCTTTTTGCCGCTGCTGGAGTCGTCAATCATCCCTTTAATTTCTAATACAGAGCATTCAATTTGAATATAGAAAGGGTTTTGAGACTTCTTAATTTACCGGCAAATTAATTGAATGAATATGATACTCGACTACGCCTCGGGCAGAATTGAATTTCTCTTCTAAACCCATTTGTCGCACCTTGTGACGGGCTTTACCAAATTCTTACTGTTCAAGCTGAAAATGTCACGAAAATCATTATACGAATTTTCTCCAATTGGCTGACCCAGGTCAGCCAGGTTTTTTTGCATGGACTGTCCGACGGGACAAAATAAAGTAGCCGTTATAGAGAGGTAGCCGTTAGTGGCGGTTCGACTGTAGCCAGAAGGCTGCACCCACATCTTCCAAATGTGGTAAACGCCAGAGGATTTGAGCAAATTAGAAACAGGGAAATATTTTGAATAAATAATAATGATGATTACAGTTTGTTAAAAATTAAACCATAAACCTTAGTTTTTTGAGAAGTTTAAATTCTATTAAGGCAGGTCCGAAAGTTTTTTTTCCCGCGGCGCTGAAAAAGATAGAACTTCTAACGGAGGAAATTGCAATTTTCTTTAATGTAGACTTTACAAGTCATGAGAAAGGGGAGCTGTAGGTTTTAACTTAAAAAAAAAAGATTTTAAAAAATTAACGGATCCGTCTGTAAAATTGCCTGCCGCTAATTAAAAACGAGGTAAATAAATTTAACTGATCATGTTTTAATTGAAGGAAAGATTAATCTTAGTCCCGAGGAGAGACAAGCAGCCAGAAAGCAACGTCTCAGAGAATACTGTAACAGTCACACCTATGACAAGAGCCCAACACCTGAAGACCTTCACATGCTTGCTGTGGACAACGAACAAAAATTTATCTACTGCGTGAACAGGTTGGAACAACCACGTGGAAAAGTGTATTGGCTAGGCCTCGGGGAGATAATCCACGTATCAACCGCTGGGTTATGTGGAAACGCTTGACTAATTACACTGAAGAAGAACGGAACACACGACTAAAAACGTATTTCAAATTCATGTTTGTTCGTGAACCGTTACACCGCATGGTTTCGGCCTACAAAAACAAGTTTTTACGGATCCCTGGTTACCCCGAAGATATCCGTAAAGAAATAGTGAGAGAACTTCAACCTCGTTAGTTTCCCAGAATTCATTCAGTACTTTTCCGACAACAAAACGCGAAACCAACATTGGCGACAATACGACGAGATCTGTCATCCGTGTGTTATTGACTACGATTTTATTGGCCACTATGAAACGTTGAAGGAAGATGCACCCCTTCTGCTAAAAATGGCTGGCATCAAAGAGAGTGCAAAGTTCCCACCGATTCACAAATCAACCAGCACAGCTCAGGTCGTGAATTACTATTCCAAAGTCCCGGTTGATGTTATCAAAAGAATTGGAGAACTGCACTGCAGTGACTTTGAAATGTTTGGCTACGAATACTTTGGCCCCATTAAAAAACTTCTGAATCAGAGAGAAACGTACTAGGTGAACTTCGTACAAAAGTACTAGAACTGAAGTACTTGATTTTTTGAGTGTCGCTAAGGGTTCTAACTTTTAAATCGGCTAGATGTATAGTAGGTACAATAAGAACAGTGGCCGACAAATATTGTAATATTGAAAAGCAACAAACTAGCTCCGTTCTTAGTGACTTTAACTCAGGGTAACGGGTCGTTTCGATCATACAAGTCGTTTCAGCCACAAGAACTCAAGCAGCGAAATTGCACAAAGATCGAACACTTCAAAGTACAGTTTGCGCGTGAACAAGAAAACATTTTGGGCGAATGTTTTTCGTCCTATAAGCCAAGAACGTGAAACTATTTACAACTCGACTGAAAAAACTTGTGTCGAAACGACTTGTGCCGAAACGACTTTGTACAGGAGCACCCAAAGACGATTTCCTCCCAGATTCATTGAAAACACTTTGTAGACTATCCAGAGCATTTCTAGACCTCTAGAATGCATTCTAAGCGGCGCTATGAAATTTGTGTCTGTTCGGTCATCCTAGGGGAACTTGAGTCTTTTTAAAATTACAAGGGCTTCAGTATTATTTCCTTAAAATTTTAGATGCAATTTAGTGCATTACGAAAGAGAAAATTTTTTTGTACCGTTTTGGTGCACCAATATGGCTGCCGGAAATCAACAAAAACATCTGGAGTTCTCTTTTTTTATAAAAGCTATTTCTTTTCACTCGAGAACTAGCATTCGTACGCATAAACATATCTTCTAATACTTGAAGTGGTTAAACTGCTGAAAATCAAGATAAGAGACTTTTTTTCAACGAGACAGCATTCCTATTTTGGTGTCACGCACTCTGAAAACTCGGAAGTTCAAATTTGCTGTATTTTCGAAATGAAACATACTGCGGAAATGGAAACTTGTACAAAGATTTACTTTTTGTTTATCTTCAACTCAACCTAGTGTAAATAAGAATTCGTAAAACCTCGCTATTTTGACTTTACAATTTGATGACGTCACAGTGAGAATTAAGACATGATCGGGGAACTCCTAGTCTCCTACACAGCCGTTTTTTTTACTAAAAACGGCTGTGTAGCAGACTAGGGAGCTCCTCGAGCGAGTGAGATGACGCGAATTCTGAGTTCTGATTGGTACGGAGCCCAGTAAGTACCATTCAAATTTTGCGCTCAATTTTTTCTGTCTCGACTTTTTTCTCGCCTTTAAGTTTTTTTTCCCGACTTTTTTCTTGACTTTTTTCCCGACTTTTTTCTCGACTCTTTTCTCGACTTTTTTCCCGACTTTTTTCTCGACTTTTTTCTCGACTATTTTCTCGACTATTTTCTCGACCTTTTTCCCGACTTTTTTCTCGACTTTTTTCTCGACTTTTTTGCCGACCTTTTTCTCGACTTTTTTCCCGACTTTTTTCCCGACTTTTTTCTCGACTTTTTTCTCGACTTTTTTCCCGACTTTTTTCTCGACTTTTTTCCCGACTTTTCCCCCTGACTTTGGAGTAAATCCGCTGACATTTAAGCGCAAACAAAATGGCCGCAAGAATTTTTCGTTATACGATGTTGCTGTCTATAGTAATTCCCTCTACATGTGTTCTGCCAGGCTATTTCTCTCTCCCAGCACATGCAGAACGTGACGACATAATCGACCACTTCTTTCATCTAGGTCTGGGTTACAGCGAGAACTTGATGTGTTTGTTTCTTTTGCACGGCATTTGCTTAAGTATTCGTCAACTAAAGCAAATACTGAGATGTCGTGGTCTTGGAAGAAGAGCTAATAGGACTGATCCACGGCAGGTTTGCGAAGCTATCGAGGAGGAACTACGAGGCAGTGGTAGCACTATTGGGTATAGGCAAATGACTCAGAGGCTGGTAGTTGATCACGGGCTAGTTGTTGGCAAAGAGACAGTTAGAGAATTGATGAAGATAATAAAAAAATCAGTACGACCCATTTGTAATTTTTTCGTACTGTAATCTTAGTAACGGAAGTTACAACCTTAACTGTTCACCCTAAATCCTGCTATTGTGAGAGGGAATTTCTTTCCACAGGCTTTTGCTCTTCATTTTCTGTATTGCGTATCAAAAAGAGCAAACTTAAGTAATATTTACCCGATGTAAATCATTCGCAGTATTTATTTCTAGGCCACTTGTGATCTGCTCTCAGATCGGTAACGGAAGTTTCATAAAAATAGCGGACACCAGTTCACTGTAGTTAAATGCAACAAAACTGACCTGCAGTGAGAAATGATCATGTAGGACTTTAGTTTAGGTCCTTCCGAGACATTGGATTGATTAGTTTCCATAGTATAAGGCGACAAGCACAAATATACCGTAACCTTCTATACCCACCCTCTCTGTGGACATAGCAAAATTGCATTTTTTGGACACTTTTGGCCTTGATTCCCTCAAAGTTACTGTCTACAGGGGCACAAAAGGGTACTGTCGCTATTTATTTGGGCATATTTTAAGTATTTTTTCAGCGAAATGATTATAGGAAAACAATTTGAGTCCCCAAAACTTGCCATGGACACCAAAAATGGTAATTTATCCACTTAACGTGGAATGAGTGGTTGTTCCTATTCCCCACGTGCCGAAATGAACCATTGACGCATGCGTATGTGATCAGTGGTGGGAAAAAAGTCGGGAAAAAGTCGAGAAAAAGTCGAGAAAATAGTCGAGAAAAAGTCGGGGAAAAGTCAGGAAAAAAAGTCGAGAAAAAGTCGAGAAAAAGTCGGGAAAAAGTCGAGAAAAAAGTCGGGAGAAAAGTCGGGAAAAAAGTCGAGAAAAAAGTCGAGAAAAAGTCGGGAAAAAAGTCGAGAAAAAAGTCGGGAAAAAAACTTTAAGGCGAGAAAAAAGTCGAGACAGAAAAAATTGAGCGCAAAATTTGAATGGCACTTACTGGGCTCCGTAGATTGGTTATCCGAACAGGCTGAAGATTGGTCTATCTTGCCCACGTGGTATAGTTGTTTAAAATTTCATATTAGATCGTTAGCGTAAATTAGTAGGTATTTTACAGTTTAGTAATTGTTGTCTTAGAGCAGCAGAACACGCGACGTTTAGCGTTTTGACCAGCTTAGCTGCAACAATTCTTATCAGTATTAAGTTGTTAATTTTAGCCAATGTCAGTTTTAATTTGTAAATTCGCAGGTTAAAAATTTACAGTAGTCAAATTTGTGTACTGGTGTATATTATTATTACCTTCCTCCATTTACTATGTTCAGTATTGACATAGCTATAATGATATTGTTGTAATTTCAATGGTGTATGATCGGTGTACCTTGCATGTAATCTCTAAATAAAGTAGTTTTCAGTTCATTTTAATTCAACAGCTGTGTGACACTAGCTGCCCTAAAAATCGTCGTTGCGAATCGTCCCGTGTAGCATCACCTTTAGATTGGCAAAACGACAGCTTTGCACGTGCATGACGGTTTTTTGTAAATTTCATTGCCGTCACTGCACGACCACGATGTGAAACTTCCTAATTTCACGTCTTGTGCAGGACGTGAGCACAAGACTAAGACTTTCTTTTTCTTTTCATGAACTTTGATACAGTCTTTTAGAATTTAACTCCAGAAAAATGTGCCAATATTTGACGAATTGAACCAGATGCAATAAGCGCGATAAAGTTTGAAGAAGCGCGAATTCAGTTTTTTTAAGCGACGTTTTCGTAGCCGTCGCAAGCTCCGAGCCACAGCCCTCCCACGAACGAGCCACAGTCTTCCCACCCGGCAAGCAGAAACCCCTTTTTTGCCTTCTTTTGATCGAGGAAGATAGTTTACCTCTCTCAGAAATAAAAAAAAAGTTGTTTCAGTCTTTAAAAAAAGTAAAATCACAAATGAATAATAACAAATTTGCTTGTTTTTGAGTTGGAAATTCTTGACTCTAAAACAGATGATATCGTTACTAGGTAACAGCAATCGAAAATGGGCATGACTTGTCTTTTTATGCATGAGTGGACATACGTCTGTTGCCCCTCTCCCTCCCCCCCTCTCCCCTTTCCCAATCACCTGAAGATAAATAAAGAGGGTGAAAAAGTCAGCTAAAGAAACGGCCGCCAGTTGTCTCGATCAGTTTCTATATCATCGACTTCACTTTTCTCTCATTTTGTTACTTTATACTTCCTGAAAATGTATAATTATGATGTCTAAAAGCTAACGACAATACGTACGGAGTCTTTAAGAAAATTGAAACGCGGTTCGTCTTGCTCGGCTTCTCTCTAGTACTTTCTTAAGTGTCCAGACGAGCATATTTAAGGCTTCGGAAAGAAAGAAATAAAATCTCGAAATCCTTTCATTAAGCTTGTTGGCTGCCCAAGTTAGTCCAATAAAACAAAATCCGGAACAATATCTGTTTTTCGCCAATTTTAATATCAAGGGGTCGGGAGTTTAGCATACTAAAGTGTGAACTATTACAATGTTTGTCCGTTCTCCGGAAAATTCCTTTAATTGGTTTTGAGCGATACTTCTAATATAAGTGGTTCTTTTGTATCCAAAAGCTTTGAAAAATTGAGAAGAGTCAAGGGTTCGATCACTTTACATCCGTAGTCTCACAAAGCATTGTTGATTTAATAGCTTTCCCCATCAATAGTCGGGGAAAGATTTGATTACGTTCAGTCGTATCGCCAGCAACTCAGTTCTGAAAGGACATCAAAGCTGGTTTTCTACAAAAAAGTAAGTATGGGAAAATTTTTAGCAATCTCAGTAAATTGCCTGTTTTTGATATGAGTTTTGGACGTGATAATGCTTGAAGATATGAAACAGGGGACATTTCACTGAGGTTCGCAGACTTGTGTAATATTTATTCTACTGCATTTCTTCCTGCTAATTGGGATTGTGAATGGGGCGAATGGTTTATAATTGGTCAAACGTATTTGTTGCTTACTGATTTCAGAAGAAAAGAAAAGGAAAAAGAAAGTAAACGCTTTTCTTTACATTTTAAATGCATCTCTTTTTTACCATTTGGCAAGGGCCGCCTTTCGTTCCCCTTTCGTAGCTGAGGAAATATAGTTTTAGTACTTTTAACCTTAAGTCTGCAAAACTCAAACAGAAGCTGTCAAATTATCAATCTCTTTGAGCAGAAAGGAGAGTTTTTTTTTTACTCTAACTGGCACGCTCGCGCAGCACCCATAAAGTCGTTGAATGAGGTTTCTCCTTCACAATCTTTGTCTTGCACTAATGCATTCAAAGTAAAAAGAAAAAGATGGATTTTTGTGGCCACTTGCCTGACTTTCTTTCCGATACTAGAACAAATCGGCTGTAACAGATGATAACTGGTCCTTATGGCAGCATCAAAGTTGTTGTTTGAGTTTTGTTAAGCTATTTTTTTGCACTGCCGGCTTGACAAAACTGGAACAACAAAATTGTTGAAATTGAATTTCCGTCACCGATACAGTTAAAGAAACCGCACCACTTGACTACTGAAAAGCCGCCTTAAAAAACTGTGATTTACTTCCCAATGTTGAAATAGTGCGTAATGTATGGAAAAATAGAACTGAAATGGATAGTTGTCATAGCTACAATTCTTTAGTGCTGTAAGGAACTGGAGTGAACTTTGATAAGTTACAAATAAGTGTTCTGCGTATTAAATTTCCACCGAAAACATATGCGGAAATAATATTATATTTTCCTCCGGTTTCAGTATAAGAAAGAGACCAGAGCCAAAAGCTCTCTCCGCATCAAGGTCAATCGAGTCGTTCAAGAGCCGATGAAAAACAGACAGAAATCCACGCGGTAATATATACATTACACAAAATATTACTGACAATGCTAAGGGGATATAACTAATTATTTGCAAATTCATTAATTTTGTTTCGTTTGTGTCAGTGACTACAATAGCCCAGTTATCTTTTACTGATTTAGCTTGGTCTGTCATGTAGCTTCCAAAAATTGTTGTGTCACGTTTCGACGTTCACAAATTAACAAGATACACTGGTTGTACTCTTTCAATTCTTTTGACGGTTACCGAGAACCAACTCATTTTCAACAAAAGAGAGCTATAAGAAATCGAGCTAATACTTCGCATGGCACTGATGTACTGGCTTGGAATAACCATAAGAAAAAAATCTTTGAACATACTAATTTCTGCTTTCAATTATAAAATTTAGGTCTGAATCCTTCCTATCGTAGCCATGGTGACGTTGCGACCGATTTTCTTAGTTTTCTTCTTCTTTGTCACGGTGCATGTGATCGACGCTCGACCCAGGCGCGCGCGTACCCTTGGATACAAGTTTAGACTTCCTTTTATTGAAGCAGACAGTACAAATAAACTGGAGAGGTAAGGCCGGGCGTCAAGTTGACTTAAGGTGGCTGAAGACAGTTTTGCAGGCGGTCAGCGGCAACGCGCGTGACGGCGCTTGTTTTAAATTAGACAAACAAACATGGCGGCGAAAAAGCAATGGTACACAGAAAACGATTTCTCAAAATCTACTCATTAAAATTTTGTGATATTTGGCAGAATTTTTACTTTTCTCGTATTTTGAATGATGAGAACTTTAAAACGGAAGTTGAACAGACGTTTTTTCACACATTTAATAATTACAGAACAGTTATATTATTGATTATCTAAAAACTCGTCTGTTGAAACTTGGTCAAATAAGTTTCAAATGGTAATGATTAATTATAACAAGCTGTGTGCAAGTTTATAGGAAAATGTAATGAGCGAAGTTTCTGTAAACTGAGCAAAAGTGAAATTTTAAGGCTGCATTCAATCGCTCATGTTGCCATGGAAACTACGAAAACGTTAAATTTTACCTGTCAATCGAAATCTTTCTTCAGTATATTATTCACTTGCCATGATTTAGCTTGTGAGCTGCAACCTTTCTCTTGCCATGATTTGATAAATGACATATACTCACAAACTGCCCGGCAAAACTGTGTCCAGCCACCTTACACTATGAGTAGGTCTTACTGGAGACTCATAATCTACTTACGTGATGTGCTTTTACACACTTTCATTTCCATTCGCCGCCACTTTGGAAATCAAAAGGGAACAGAAGCCGAAAGAGATATCGCAATTGTTTCTGGGATCGTTACTGGGGTAGTCACGCAATTGGATAACACGCAACGCTCCCCTTGGGAGAGCGTTGCGTGACATCCGAAAAACGGCTGCGAGGGAGACTATTACTGGGAAAGTATCGGCCAGGCTAGTCAGGAGTGCAGCTATTGGCCATTTTTTTCCTGTACCTAGTAAGTAGTAACATTCCCAGTAGTCTCTGCGAAAGTTAACTCGGCCCAGTTTTCGTCCAGGTTCTAAAGTGGCGAAGGCTGGAGTAAGCCGAGATGCGCAAACCTTAATGAAGTTAAAGTTATATTAGTAGTCGTCGTCAGCGATATATGATGAAGAGACGTGTTTCTGACAGCAGAAATCAGCTTACAAATGATTAGCAGAGCAATTTATATGGGTTAAATATTTATCAAGCGTAAGGTCAAGTTGGCTAAACATTGCTCAAGTTCCTTTTTTGTGCTTTTATAGACCGAGACGAAGACAATAAAAACGTAAAAAGAAACGTGGCTAACATTTAGCAAACTTGAACGAACAAGCTTGATAGATGAATGATTTTTTATATGGCTGAAAAGAAAACTTTTTTTACGGGACGAACGAGGAAAATCTCGAGCGCCCATCTTGCCCGCTCGGGTAACCAATCAGGACACATTCACAGCATTCACTTTATCCTACCCTCTCACGGATTCAATCATATATCAAACTAGCAGTAGCCGATGGCTACGAAATGCGGGCGAACATGTGGGTTTACCTTAGAGATGTGATTGATGAGAACCGCTTTCATAATTGTGTGGGTGAATCAGAGAAAACCCTTTTAGTTCCACTGTCAACTAATACTCATATTTAATTCAATGACTTAATTCACAGTTGTTTAGATACACTCAGCCTGCGAATGGTGAGGAGCGAGGAAAGAAGGCTGTATTCACAGTGAAAAATACAATCAAAACAGTATTTAACGGTGAAATGTACACCGTCACGACTGTACGAAGTCTTATATTCAATCCGTGTTCAATGACCAAGGGCCGTTGATATGCAATAAAAAATAATGAAAAAGCCTAGTTCACCACTGGAGTTTAAATGTTGTTGAAGCGTTCAGATGAAAAGCGACGTAGCATGCTTGGAAACGTATAAAAATATAAAAACCATCCAATGGAGTGAAACCCGAATAAGCTTAATTTACGTAGATTTCTAGACTTTGCTTACACTCTTATCTTATCGAAAAATCGTCCCGCACTAAGCTGAGATCAGGCTCTTCTTTCATTTTTTTCAGATTCTCGGTCGCCAAGGCGAATCGAAAAGTCTCACATTTTATAGTACAGTACTTGTGTACCTGAATCACATGTACTTGCGAATCGATCAATGTTTGTGACATCACACGGACCTTAAACTCAACATTACGGCCTTCGCGGCCATATGCCATGCATATTAGCTGGTACAACGCCAGCATCCCAAGAATGAAGACAGATTATGGAAAAACCCCGCTATACAGTTAATAAAGTACCGCTGACCAAGAATAGTCTGCGGGCTCCTCTTGTCGCCCGCAATAAGAAAACTTTTCTTTCCTCCTTAAGTCCACTATGGACATTCCATCCTATGTTGTGACATTCTAAAAGCTACCAAGCGGTACTTTCCTTTGGTTTTGTTTATTAACTTTGTTCAAGTGGCTATACCTTTTGAATCTGTAGACGGAATTTTATAAGTGTGACAACGCAGCCTCGTCCCCATGCTTTTTTTCCGTTCAAATGTGGAAGAGCCTCAAGGGGGCGATGTCAGGTTGCAAGCAAGCTCTCCATTTTGGGGAAGTCTTGAGAAGTCACCCTCGCCATAAATGAAGAGCTTGCTCTCAGGCTGACCAACTGTTAAGTTAAAAAGAAAAATCGTCTTTATTGATTTAAATAATCACTGTTGTCCTTAGTTTTAGTGACAAGAACAAGAATGAAGGATACAACGAGGCTCCGAATAATAACGAGCTTGCGAGGGATGCAGTGCGATGTCGATACGCACCAAGCCACCCAATGTGTTTTGGTCGTTGACACAAGAGTTTACCTTCACTTCTGCGAGTGTTATGGTAATGTTTTGCTTATTTTTTTAGTATACATACACTAGGTCTCGCGTCCGGTAAAATCGCGCGTGTTTTTCTTCCTTTGTAGCGCGTGCAAATTTTCAAATTTGTTCGTTATCATGTAATAATGGTGTGTGATGCTTGTAACAGCCATTCACCCTGATGAAGGCCGATTAACACGGTCGAAAAATAGGTGAGAAACGAAAAACAAACTTGTGGGACTGTACATCTATATCTGTATCTATATATATATATCTAGCCGGATTTTTGATAACGTTATCGCCAAATAGACCATTTGCACCCAACAGTTTTTTTCGGCCAAAAACTATCTCCAAGTAGCTATTTATAAAAACTAAGAGTGCAACCATTGCTTTTTTTTCTTCTCCTCCTTTCCTTCTCCTCGCTCTTTCTTTTCCTCCTTTCCCTTTGCTTCGTTACTATGATTTTGGAACTTCTTGGGCTTAAGAAAAGTGTCTTTTGACCCTTTTTCATTCAAATGACTGCCAATTTCGTTAGGTTGGTTTTCAAAAAATCGGCTAGGTATATATAAATATATATATATACATATCCCCATGAGACGCCTTGTCTCAAGTGCATAAGGAAGTGACAGATTTTTTCCCAAGTATAAGGTTTATTTTGCAAAATGCAAAGCCTCATTTCATGTCTACTAGATTTAAGCCCGCCTTGGACAAAAATTGCCTTTCAAGTCCTCCTCGGTCCTGTCCTACTGTCATGTAATAAGGAAAGGTATACTCGTGGAAAAATGAGAATAAAGCTTGTAAACCCTAATATCAAAATATAAGTTCTCATCTGTTGGTTGTCCCCATACGTTTCAATAGAAGAAGTCGGGAGAATTTGTTGAAGTATCATTAGAGTCATCTTTCCTGATCATGTCTTCAATTCCTATAACCACTCTGTTTTATAAAGCATCAGTAGAGAGCTTTAGATTTTAAGACGAGGACGACCACGAGAACGAGGTTTTCTCAATGCTAAGTAGTGCACGCGCGCGAACTAACGTCATTTTGGCGGGAAGATGTGGTAGCCGTCGTCAGTCTACTACGAGTTTTAGCGAGAATAGAGACGTTTAGATTCTAAGACGATTACGACAACGGGTACGAGATTTTCTCAATACTAAGTAAAGCTTGCGCGTGAACCAGCGTCATTTTGGCGGGAAAACGTGGTAGCCGTTGTCATTCTGCTACGAGTTTTAGCGAGAATGTCGAAGTGGCGGAAACAAGATATCAAAGGCTAGAAGTTTTATCATTTTGCCATCAGGAGAGGGTGCAACCTCCTTCACTAAAAGTAACAGTGCTAACTTTTCTAGTGAAAAATGGTAAAATGAAGCTTTCCGGGGAGTCTATATTTTAAGAAGTACGCGAAAAAACTTTAAGTTAAATCTCGTACTCGTAGTCGTTCTCGTCCTTGAATCTAAAGGTCTCTAATGTCGTGGTGGCGGGAACAAGTTATCCCATGTTAGAAATTTTATCAGTTAGCGATCAGAAGAGGGCTTAACCTCCTGTCCTTCAACGGAAATAAGCGAGCTTAACTTTGGTGATGCAAAAAAGTACAATGAAGCTTTCCGAGGTGTCTATTTTTAGAAAATAGGCGAGAAAACTTAAAATTGAATGTCTTCCTCATCCTCGAATCTAAAGCTCTCTAATATTATAAGGAGAAATTTCATGCTGATCACCCTTAGGGCTTAACAAGTTTAGCCCCCAAAGGAGACCGATATAATCTGCGCGTGGCTTTGCGTGTATCCTTATATCCCCTAAAGGAGATTACACTATGCCAGCGTTTGGTTTTCTTTCAACGAGATGATAAACCCATGCTCTTTTGCCCTATGCGGTGCCTTTCTTTTATTTATTTACTTAAGTTCGCTAATTGTTGGCTGGGTCACCGCAACAGCACGTGCCGCCAGTTACTTAGAGCCCGTAACAGTTTCCTCCCCCCCCCCCCCCCTCAAAGGTTAGGTTCGCTAATTGTTGGCTGGGCCACCGCAACGGCACGTGGCGCCGGTTACTTAGAGCCCGTAACAGTTTCCTCCCCCACAAGAGAGATAGACCACATCATACTTTACGAACGGTGCGTGGGTTCTTTAGACGTTTAATGTCCCACAGAATGGGTACAGCCTTGCTGATGAAGAACTTGCAGCCTGGGACCTTGGAGAGCTAGAGCAATGGAAATTAAGCTTGGTTGATCTTAGTTAGCTGGTCACTTCTAAGTCTCCTCACTTTTCTTTAAAACAATTCATGATTCTTTCGAATTCTTGATCTCTTTCAGAAGTTCCTCGCAACATGCTGCAGACCGCAAAAAAGTTTCAAAGTTAATTTAATGTAACCTGTAATTTGTGAAGAATTGCAAACCGTTAATAAAAAAATAGAAAACGTAAAAGCGTCGGCCATTTTGTCCTCTCCTTCCGTGACAAGATTTTTAAGCGATGGTTGAACATTTGTCTCCTAACCTTACTAAATATCGGTTGACGTAAGTGGTTAATTGCGCAGAGATGATTTTAATTCTATAGGGAAACAATACTTCCTTGTGACTTCTCGGTAGACTTTTTGTTTGCCACTATTCTCTTGATCTTCGTATGGCTGTGGGCCAAGTCATCCGTTAAGGGTAGTTAATAGCGCCAAACAAAATTCATAACAATAATCGATTTCTCTTTGACTGCCGCCGTCATTTTGGGATATGGGTCTCTGAGCAAAGGATCAACGATAATTCCGCAAAAGCTCGCTTTAGGTACATATAATTCCTTTAAGAGAGCATTATGTGCAAATTTTGCGTAACTCGACGTAACCGTGTTGTAAAAGTTTGGTATCTTTTCACAATGTGATAGGAGCAGGAAATTATCCCCCCAGAGTGCGTTAACTTAGATTGAAGGCATAGTGCATAGTACATGTAAATACAATGTTGGCTTTACCATTCAAAGCGGTAGAAACAACTTTAACCAACTCTGAAGGATACAATCTAACTCCGCGTTTAACCACCCAGTTAATACAGTCAACCACTTTTTTCTGGCGCGAAGGTCTGTTTTTTTTTCTTAATCAACAACCGATCACGCTACAGACAGATTGGCCAATGCGCGTTTAGATAAAGCGTTGCCACTCGAGTTCAGTATTGCGCGAAAGTTCCCCCTTCATTCCTCTCTTCTGCTCTTGTTCCAACTTTCTTGACGGACTCGCGCGGAAACTAACTCTTGCTATGCAAGCTAAGATAAATTAAATCGAGTCTCTCTTTTATCAAGGCAACTAAACAGCTTCACAAGCTTCTTCAAGACGTAAGAATCAAAATCGTGGTAGGAGAAAGTTTCACAGAAAATCCAGCCAATCAACAGGCAAACATCATGGTAAAATATTACTGCTATCATTTTAGATTTGTTAATTGCGTAAGAATAATAATAATTAAACTGGGGCAAATATGATGGCTTTGACTACTGCATAGGTTATCTTGACGACATCAAAGGCATTGTGGCCTTTGACGTGAATAGCCTGCGTAGCATGGCGGTTTTGGTTGGGCGCGCTAAGTAATAAAGGCGGGCTAGGGCAGAGAAACCGCGAGGAGATTGGGGTGGGAGCAACTTATTTTTCTCGCGGCTTCGCCGCTCGTTCTCGCGCGCTTTGCGCACGAATTTCGCGGCTACGCCGCTCCTGCGCCCCATGGTACGCATTACGTGAACAATGCCAGACTGTATTACCTTTGCCAAGTTCTTACGCCTATTTCAAGGCAACATTGTCACACCTTCCATGGAAATCCAGGCAGGCATGGTATAATAGTGCTACTGTATTGGCAAATAAGGAATTACCTGTTCATCAGTAAAGTTCTTGTTTGCAAGGAGAAGGACTTTTACTCCCAACTAATTTGGCGGAGTCAATATGCAACTTCATTGTACTGGTTTCGGTTTTTTACTTCTAATCTTATAAACGGTTTAAATGTGACGAGAGCTCCGCTTTTGCTTTAGACTAAATCTAATTCTATTATTTTCATCTGAATTCTTTACGGACGAATAAACCTTGGGCACTCCAAAAAAACCACTGAGGGGGGCATGTATTTTCTAGGACTGTATAGTATGCAGTTAACATAGTCCGTTTAATTCCTCTCATTCAGAAGTTGTTTAATAGGGCCAAGGTATTCGTAGCCAAACATTTCAAAGTCACTGCGGTACAGTTCTCCAATTCGTTTGATAACATCAACCGGGACTTTGGAATAGTAGTCCACGACCTGAGCTGTGCTGGTTGATTTGTGAATCGGTGGGAACTTTGCACTCTCTTTGATGCCAGCCATTTTTAGCAAAAGGGGTGCATCTTCCTTCAACGTTTCATAGTGGCCAATAAAATCGTAGTCGACAACACACGGATGACAGATCTTCTCGTATTGTCGCCAATGTTGGTCTCGCGTTTTGTTGTCGGAAAAGTACTGAATGAATTCTGGGAAGCTAACGAAATTTTTTCCGTCAGGATCATAGCTTTCAGGTCGGAATTCTTTCACTATTTCTTTGCGGACATCTCTGGTTTCACCAGGGGTCTGTAAAAACCTGTATTTGTAGGCCGAAACCATGCGGTGTAACGGTTCACGAACAAACATGAATTTGAAATAAGTTTTTAGTCGTGTGTTCCGTTCATCTTCAGCGTAATTAGTCAAGTGTTTCCACAGAACCCAGCGGTTGATACGTGGATTATTTCCCCGAGGACGAGCCAATACAGTTTTCCACGTGGATGTTCCAACCTTCGGGATCACGCAGTAGATAAATTTTTGTTCGTCGTCTACAGCAAGCATATGAAGGTCTTCAGGTCTTAGGCTCTTGTCATAGGTGTGAGTGTTACAGTATTCTTTCAGACGTTGTTTCCTCAATATTTGTCTCTGCTATGTTAAATGATATGTGTTACTTATTTATACATGCAAGGAGTGCACCTCAATCTTCGGAAGACAAGTTTAATATTAAGAATATTTTAAGAATTAACCCGAGGCTGAGAGTTTG